CGATACCATCAACGACACGACACGGTCAGGGTGTAGCGGTGGCTGTTCAAGCTGAGAGAGATCATCAACGACACGGTCAGGGTGTAGCGGTGGCTGTGCAAGCTGAGAGAGATCATCAACGACACGGTCAGGGTGTAGCGGTGACTGTTCAAGCTGAGAGAGATCATCAACGACACGGTCAGGGTGCAGCGGTGGCGGCTGTTCAAGCTGAGAGAGATCATCAACGACACGGTCAGGGTGTAGCGGTGACTGTTCAAGCTGAGAGAGATCATCAACGACACGGTCAGGGTGTAGCGGTGGCGGCTGTTCAAGCTGAGAGAGATCATCAACGACACGGTCAGGGTGTAGCGGTGGCTGTTCAAGCTGAGAGAGATCATCAACGACACGGTCAGGGTGTAGCGGTGGCGGCTGTTCAAGCTGAGAGAGATCATCAACGACACGGTCAGGGTGTAGCGGTGGCTGTGCAAGCTGAGAGAGATCATCAACGTAACAACAGGTCAGGGTTTGGTGGCAGCCGCAGCAAGGCCTGAGCAAGCTGAGAGAGATCATCAACGTAACAACAGGTCAGGGTTTGGTGGCAGCCGCAGCAAGGCCTGAGCGTGCGTGAGTCGTGAGGTGCAGACAACAGTGTGCATGCCAACTCGTGTGCGTGAACTGCGACTCGGTTTATTCTTCGCTAGTGGATCCACAGTCGGGTATTGCAGCACGAGGGGAGGAAGTCAGCCATGTACAGGTTGACGGGTGCGCCGGGTTGAAATGTGGCCTCGCGCGTGGAATGTGCGACGTGGTGTATATCCGATTATCGACTCCTATCATCGAACGAGTTTATTTGGAGAAATTATTACTTGATGAAGTCATGCGACATGACCTGATCCGGGTTAATTAATTATAACATGAGACAGCAGCTGGTGTCGCTGTAAAATCAACCGATGCTTTACGTGAATACTGTTTAGGTGTAACCACAGCAACGACAAATAAGTTGAGCAGCCTCATGTGTAGCCAGCTCATGTTGTAGATGATCGTACGATTGGTCGACTGTTTAGAAACTTATGTAATCGAGGGAGTTATACGAGTGTGATCTGTGTACTGCTTTTTAAATTTAAAATCAAGAGTGAATCCAACAATCATGTAATATGCACACTCAAATATATGGCTGCTTTTGTATCTCTCTAGTTAGCATTCTGTGACAACATATAAGCATGGCTGAAATTTTTTCTAGTACGATTCATTATTAAGCTGACTGTGTGTCATATGACCCTGTTCGAATGGTGCTTGTAGATGTGTACTTGAATTATGTTGACAACGATTTCATTATTTAGCCGAGTCTTTTTACTCTGCTAGCGACGTGCTTAAACATGTTGAATGTAAAATTGTTCAGCAAAATGGCAGTGATATGTTTGTAACCGTAAAAGGATATCCTGTGACTTTCAAAACCGGGTTCATTGTTTTCACATGATTTTTTTTAGTCAATATTTTAAACGCATGTCAAACAACGTGATATAAACAGCATGTTTTGTACATATACGAGCATAATATATAATATGAGATGATCACTAAAAGCGAAGAATCCTGAGTTTGTGTTTGACTTGCAAGTTTATTTCTAACACGGTAATATACAACGTAATGATGGCGTTCTTTGAACGTCGACATTGAATTTGCTTATGGTCGGTTCCGCACTACTCCCCCCCCCCCGGCGTCTCCACTGTGCGGGTCACCGGCATCATCGTGTAAAATCACAGCGAGTACAAACCTAGCAACGTTCGAATAGCATGTATAGACACACATCTATATACACATAACTAGCCGTTTGTGCGTGCGAACGGCCAATGAACAAACTTGAGTTCAACTTCTACACACCTATCTCTGCCTCATCTGGCCTAGGACCCAATTCGCGCACAGGTATTTCGACGACGTGGAGACTACGTATATCTATGCTCGCGCGTCGCGCGCCATGCCTCCTCAGGACTGCTGCTGCTTCATGTAGCCGCCCTGCTGCAGAACCTCCTGTATTCGCTTCATGAGCGCTGGCACCAGCTGGATGTGCTCATCGGCGCAGCGCACCACGCAGCCCTCCATCTTGTCCTTGAGGCGTGCCATCTCGGCCTCGCTGGTGCTCGGAGTGACCTGGTCACGCGTGTCGTCCTGACACTTGAGTGCGCACCGTTGTAGACGGTCCTGCCGAGGGGGAGAGAGTGAGAAAGGGCGTAGCGAGATCAATTTAGAGAGAACGGTAGACAGAGAGAGAGAGGTGAGAATGAGAGAGGGCATAGCGAGATCAATGTAGATAGAGAGGTAGAGAGGGGGTGGGAGAGAGAGAGAGATGGCAGAGCGAGATCAATGTAGAAAGGGAGGTAGAGAGAGGGGGTGGGGTGGGTGGGAGAGGGAGAGATAGATAGAGAGAGTGAGAGAAAGAGAAAGAGATGGTGGGAGGGAGAGTGACATAGGGAAAGAGTGATAAAGATAGGGAGAAATTGTAGCAAGTAGTTTCGAGAGAAACAAATGTCTTTAATGACCGTACAGCATAGAATAAATGCCATTCCCAGTACACATACTTCATAATAGGGATTTAATGGATGCCAGATTATCTCTAGAGCTTACCTGGTAGTTTTGTATCTCGCCCTGAATAAAGTTCTGAGCTTGATATATTGGCTTGCTACACCTGTCAACGCACTTTTGTACTTGATCCATGTTCCTGCCTTTATCATCACAGCAAGCTGTACTGCATCGGTACATATCTCCCTGAAAACAAACGTCATATACACGGTAGCCTATGCGTCTTCTTGAAATAGACATAGAGAATGCAGGTAAAACCAATAGAACTTGTGTTGCGCATATACAATCTAAATGTACCAGGAATAGATCATTAGCAATAGCAAAACCATTATAATTATTTATGGTGTAAATTCAACTTATACATCACTTACTCCAATGTATAAATATTAGGGTGTCATTTTCGCTGGAATTCCCATATCATTCAAATTACATTTGTGAAAAGACCAATTGCTTTAGACATATATGCTATGCCGTAATCCCTTGCTTTGCTAACATTAAAACCCTCTCACAGGCCCTCCTTATTCTAGAATAGTCCTCACCTGGTTGGAACCTGTATACCATACAAAACTGCAACAATATGGAAAACAATACGAACAAGAGCAATCAGAGATAGCAAACTTCTGCCACAGCGTAACAGTCCCCCCCCCCCATCTTGCTGGTACACCCAATATCATTGTTTTTACTCTCTATGACTATTGTTGTTTGACTCTGCATTGACACCATGCACGGCGCACATATCTATATATAGCTATCGATCGAGAGAGAGAAAGCGAAAGTGAAACGAAGCGCTTAGACCACTACACTACGATCAATGATAAGAAATCCTTCAAAAAATTCATGGATCCACATCTCGCTCCGGATCACCACAAAAATCTAAGCGATTGGTTGTTGGTCCAAGACCAACTCGTCCAAAAAAAAGTTCATCAAAATCCGTCTGTAACCTTTTGAGATATCCTGTTGACAGACCAACCAACCAATAAACAAGCTAACAGGGGCGAAAACATAATTCCTCCTTGGCGGGGGTAACAATATCACAAACACATAGCACAAACTCTATAAGGCCGATGAAAGTTGATTTCATGGTTCTCGTCAGGCATTGTTGAGATTTTGATGAGGGATTTAGATCAACATTCATCTTTCATATACAAACCAATAGAACTTAGTGAGGGTATCAGGTCTTGTACATATGCAAAATAAGATTGAAAAATGTCATAACTTCTTTGTTGACAGTTTTTACTCAAATTTTTACTGTTTGTCTTCCATACATGTAGTGCCGACTGTAGATTGTTGATTTTTTGAGGCGGGAATTTCATATGGGGACTTTTTGATGCGGGAATTTCGTCAGCGATGAGTGTTGAACTTTTTTGGTGCGGGAGTAAAATTTGATGCGGGTGCTGACGAGAACCATGACATCAACTTTCATCGGCCTAAGATATATTATGGCCACATTAAAATTGGTATATATATATACGCCTAGTGAGAGCCCGAAACGGGCATTACACAGAATAATAATGTAGTACAAATATCTATCGCTATAAAGTTCATAGATCATCTTTTGTTCAGATTCTTTAGTCTTCGTTCACTTTTTCTTTCATGGTAAAATCATGATTAAAATTGGTACGAAGCATTATAATTGCTATTATTATTATTATTATTAAATCTTTATTGCATTCAATTTAAATTTTTATACAAATACATGTAGGCCCCCCCTACTTTGAAGACAGTCTTTTTCATGGAGAAATAATCTGATAGATGCCAATACTGGCAATAGTGTTGAGCGGTTAAAATAATAAATTTTCTGAGCAATGCAGTACATTATTTACAGTACATGAATTACTAGATTGAAGGGAAGTAGATAGTCATGAGTAGATTAGAGCACAAAATGAAGCAGTGGCTTATACCAGTACGGCAGTAGATGGCGCTCGAGTGTATCAATGAAATCATTGAGTGATCATTGAACGTTCACGCTGTCTTAGCAAGTGTAACGTTATTCCTTCGTTATTTTATAAGCTTGGAGACGGCTCAACATTAGCGACAGTCGTCGCCGCAACGCAGAATAGATTATTGGTGAAATCCCCGTCCTAAAACACTACTAGTCACGGTTCAAGTCTCGGTGACTAACCACTATTTCTCGTGTCCCTGAACACGAAAAGGCCAATATCAAATGCTTACACAATGCGATTACGTCGTTACACGTTAAGTCTTATTAAAATCCAAACGCGACTGCTTATATCTGAACTACGGATGATCAGTAACAAATAATATCGTACCTGCATGTTTCGCAAATGAGACCTGTCTAAATCTTCGAACATTTTAGTCATCGCGCTCTGCACGCGTGCTTGAGCGGCGTCCGCCATGATGTTCCGTGTAACCTATGAACTTTAACCTAAAGTCGTGACCTACAAATATTTTGCCATGTGATTGCCAGTGAAACGCTATTCCCCATCAAACAAGAGTTATTCAGGTTTGGAAATGTTATTATACTGCTCCTGGGAATCGGGTTTCACGTGGCGTGGTTCATGGAACACCTCTGCGTGACTGCGTCGCACCTCATTACCTGGGCCGGTTAACCGCCCAGCACAGGTAAGCTAATTAACCGCGCAGGGTAGGGGCCCTGGCTGGTTTACTGACACACTGTCAGTGTCACGCGGTGAGTGCAGACGTGAGCAGGAAATAGGTAAGTTATGCGCCAGACAGCATTTTCGGAAGTTCGTGGCATTCACTCATCACTGTACTACTGAGTACTGTAATTTGTTTCATCTTCTGTTTCATAATTCAATAACTGTGCCAACAAGACGTGGAAATTCACGATAGCGGGTTTACCGTATACATATAGTGTACAATATACAAAGTGCCAAGTGGATACAGCAGCAGTAGCATATTTGTAGTGCTCTTGGAAAGTAACGGGAACCAACGGCAACGGAACGGAACGGCTATGACATAGATAATGTAAAAACCATGTATAGAGTAGACTAGTACAGGCACGTAGGTATAGTGTAGTTATGTCGTGAAGAGTAATTTACATTTATCATGTTTTAAAATGATTATATTGAAAAAAATTGTATTTTCCCATGCAGAATTGAAGCAAGATGGATTATACGGTGCAGTTCAAGTACTACCTGTTTGTCTGCCTGGTGTTGCTTGGTGAGTGAATTCAATCCATGGGTTTTGACCTGGTTTCAACAAAAGAGGTTTTTTGCTCATACAATTTGGGAGAGTCGTATATATACCAAGCAGTATGTTTTGTTTGCAAGGGAGTTTTACGGATGCACTACCTGAGCTTGGTGGAAGAGGGTTGACAATTGTGCGTTATGCATGCATGCACTAGCTGTCTGGAAAAACAGCAACCCTTTACGTACACGGACCTTTAGTAAAAAAAATCTATGTAAAATTATATGTTTGTATTGTATATTAAATGATTTAAATTATATAAAAGTTCATATATGTTAGTTTGGATCTGTGGATGCATATGTTATACTACATGATAATACAGTAAGCTGGAGCTTATATTCTGTAAAATAGGCATGTACGTAATACCAATGCTCTAAAGGAAGACACACCTTTGCACACAAAGGTTTGCAATTGAACTTATGACTTATGTCATCGGACATGCGTCATGTACAGATTGAAACAACCTGTTAAGCTCTTGGTGCATGGGATGCAGTTTCTTTTTCTGTATATGTATCCTGTAGTTGTGCAGAGTCATGCAACACGGCTGATTGCCACCTTTTCCATGTCTGGGATCAAGGGAAACATCACATTTGAGCAATCTACATCCGGGGCTGGAGCAGCAATAATCTATGTAAGTATGGGGACCTCGCATAAACAGATTTCCAACAGTACAACTTATTACCAACTTTTATTAAATATACGGGTCAAGAGGCATGGATCTTCAGGAAATTACTAATATTTCAATCACTTGCTAAGTTAAGTGGCAGGTAGTAGATCAGTAAAGATGGGGAATTTATTAATAGTTTGTTCTAACTGCAGGTTAACCTTGAGGGACTAATTGGTTTCCGTCAGTATGACTGGCATCTTCATGAGTTTCCTACTGATTGGGATGCTAACCAGAAGTGTCTTCAAGGCGATATTGGAAACATGTAAGCATGGGAAACTGTAGTCACATATTAACCGAGTATAATACTAAGCACATATAGTACTGAGATGAGTGAGTACATTATTATAGCCTATATAGTATTATAGCACTCAGATTTACATCTTTTGTGTCCTGGAGCATGACTGCAGTGCAGTGGTAGATATATGTACCTTAATTACAGCTACGTGTGGGGAGTGATAATCCTCGGGTCGAAGGGTGCATGAGAGAGCATACATATGCAGCAACATGCATCTTGTGGGATATGTTATTGCATCCCCATGCATAGCGCAGTGCGTGAAATTATAACTATTTTGCCAGCGGCCACTCGTTCAACCCTAGTAGTTAGTATGCCTAATAAACACAATGCTAATACTTATATTCATAATGGAATAAATTGAACCTGTTCACATTTTGGCTAATTTCATGCCCTGATAGTGGATGTTCCACATGGACATTGCCTATGCATGGGCAACACGTGACCGGTGTCCATGACCATATGTCAGTGGTATGTGATTCATGCGTGTTGTTGTGACCCACATTTGCTCAATTACTTGTTGTTGATATTTTGAGACTTGACAATTGTAAGGAGAGCGTACTCAGTAAAAGTAAATACAGAACGGTTAACGTTGAACTATTCTTGCTTGTTTGGCATTATAGAAGTATTCTTTTGAACCACTGTCATAATTACATCATAGGTCATACTACTACTTATTGCACCAGTTTTATATAAGTTTATGCAATCCTCATATATGTGTTTAAAGGAGTTGCTACGTTACCTTAAACCTGTATATTGACTACATATATGGTCTCATTCATGCTATTGTTAACTTCCTGCTTTCTGCAGGAATAATTGTTCCACACACTGTAAGTTAAAGGCAGGTATTTTTGCACTGTATCACAAACCATACGAACGTATGCTATAACTTAGCTAGTACAGAGTATTGTGCCCTCACAACTCTGGATAGCGTGGGTCAGTATATACAGCAACATGTGGCTGTCTTTACTTGTTAAGGTGGAGGTGGTGGCATATGTGACTGACATAATACCTTAGGGTGGAGGTTGTGGGTTCTTTTACATTTGTGTGATTTTATTCATAGCATGGAGCTTAGCGGTTCATACATGTGATTGACTTTATACCTTAGCGTGGAGAGTAGGCGTGGTCATACAAGTGACTGACTCTATACCTAAGAGTGGAGGTTGGTGGGTTCTACTCGTAGCTGCCTTTATTCGTTAGAGTAGAGGTGGTGGCAGTGTCTTACAGGTGAATGAGGTCCTACCTCATACTGGAGGATACTGGATTTACTCGTTACGATGGAGTAGGTCAGGCTGTCCCATACAGTGACATGTACCCATCTGCGTTCCTCAGGATGAAAGACATGGGAGACCTGACAGCAAGACACGGCAAGCTGACGGCGGCGTCGAAGCAGTACACCGACTCTACGATCCAGCTGTCCGGCCTGTCGACGATCTACGGCCGCACGCTGCTGCTGACAGCGGGCGGCGGTGTCGAGGCATGCGCCACCATCCAGGATGACGGCCAGACGCAGGTCCGCACAGCGACGGCCATGTTCCCGACGGCGATAGCGGGCACCATGCACTTCCGCCAGATGGAGGGTAGGTGCAGCGTGAACTAGTGGATTAATGAGTGAAGGACATCACGAACGATGGAATAGTAGAAGGAGACAATTAGTAGTAGATGGAGGTTAGACACACGTTAATGTGAACGATTAATAATGAGTGTTAGGAAGAAACGAGCGACGTAATAGTTGAAGTAGACAATCAGTAGGTCGAGGGTAGGCACAGCGCATCCATTCCACCCTGCACAGCGTATCCATTCCACCCTGCACAGCGTATCCATTCCACCCTGCACAGCGTATCCATTCCACCCTGCACAGCGTATCCATTCTACCCTGCCTACTGGCTAACCGGCCTGACGTTGCTGCATGTGTGTGTAGGAGATACAGGAGCGCGTGGAGGCGGAGTCATTTGCGATCGTGCGACGCGGCGCGCAGCACGTGTTGGACTGCGCGTACCTGCGTGACGGTGGTGCCCCCACGAGCCCCCGCCTCCTGCTCGCGCTCCTCGAGCTCGTCTCCGCGGAGTTCCGCTGCGTGTCGCGCGCGCACACGTCCCTGCTCGGCAGCGTGCGCCGCGTCGCCGCGACGACGACCCCGGGCGCCGGGGCGCTGGCCGAGCCGCAGCTCTACACGATGGCGGAGGTGTGGTCGAAGATACAGTCAGTGGTGAGTATTGCATGACGTTGCCTGTGCCCTTGCCGATGGATTGGGGTTACTTATTATTATTATAATTTTCTTATTTTCATTACATGTATATAATATCAAGAGCGGATAATACCTAGAGTGTACAACGGAAAAACGGGAAAATAGTGCTATTTCACGACTACATTATTCTACTTTGCCTGCGAGTCTAGAATAATTTGATGGTATTGCATTAAGCAGAATTCTTTGCTCTCTAAAAC